GATCCGCTCAGTGTCGCACCTGGCAGTATCATTTGTGCCCATATGGATGAGTAGCATGGGGTAGTAGTCAGAGGGCCGGATAATCCTCGACAATGCTTCCATAACATCTCGGATACGGGCCCCTGGCAGACAGCATACCTCTCGAGATGAACTGTCAGGGCGACAGATGGGCGCCTCCGTTCCCCTCAGAAGAGAGTCTCCAACCACCACTACCCTTTTGCGCAAAAAGGCCAGTGTAGACTGCACAGATTTGTTTTCCGCAAAAAAGCCCCGATCGCGAAAATGGCAATCAGGGTTTTTTGCGGAAAAGCGCATCTAGATTGGCACGGATGCTTTTCCGCAAAAAGTGCTTTTGCGGAAAAGTGTCAGTGCCAATCTAGACGCCCTGTTCCAAAAATGCTTTTAATGGAAAACTTTTCCGTTAAAAGCATTTCCGGAAAATCCTGCCAGTCTAGACGTAGCCAGTGTGTGCATACAATTGCCATGGTACTAGCTTAGGCTTGGCAGAATTTGGCCCATGTAATGCCAAATCCTGAAGGGCTAGGCACCTGTAACTTCCACTGAAGTCAACCCAGGTTTGGGCCTATGATGAGAAATTTGCAGGATTTGGACATTGAATGCCTCTTCCAGTTGTGCGGCAGCACAGATTCACAGGTGATGCTCAGACAGTGAGCTCCTCGCACAGAGACCTGAGCCTCTGACTGGGCGGGGCTGATTAATCACCTGTGAAGCTTTGCTGCCTTCTAAGGATGTGAAGTAGGGAGTAAATGACTAATTTGTATTGAGTACATGATTAGTTGATAAGGGGCTTGCTGTGGCTCTGCAGTTTAAATGTAGAACAAGCTGGGCATGCAGGCAGCCCATCTCCTACTACATTTAAACTGCAGAGCTGCAGTGGGGGTAGATCTGGAACCTGGCATGAGCCAGGACTGAAGCAGTCCTGGCTCACTCTGGGTTCAGACCACAGCAGCTTTACCTTTTAAATGTAGTCATTTAAAAGGCACAGCTACACTGCTGCTGCACCTCTGCCCCCTCACTCCCCCCCCCAACCGGCTTTTAAGCTGGTTCCCCCAGGCATTGGCTTCTGCTTCCCCTCCTCCCCCCCACATTGCTGCTTCTGATGTAGAGGTGGCACGGGGTAGGGAAGAAGGGGGAGTAGTGGACTCAAACACTCAATAAGCCTAGGCTAATCAACTACTCTTTTACATCATCTCTTCAAACCTGAGCAAATTTTGCTCTACTTGGTTTTCTTTTAGGAATATGAATTTTATTATTAAAAGTAAGTGATTGTGTCTATAGCTGAAGCACTGGTTATGTGCTTTGATCAACCTGCCACTTTATTTTTTTTACAGAGATCTTTTATTAAGTTTTATTATAATTCAGTCATACTAGTTGTAGTAGACTGTTGGCAGAGTACAGGGAATGTAACAATTTCAGAACTGGATGTGTGCAGTAATGAGGAATTCCTTTTGAAATGTTTGTGACCTTTAAAGAATCCAGTATGTATTCATATATTGTTTCCTACACTACAAAATTCTAAGCACGTTCTAGAACATGTTTGAGAACTTGCCTAGTGCAGCTCTTACGTAGGCATAACTAAGAGGAAATTGAAAATACCACAATCTAATTTTGAAATTAACAAAATCAGAAAACTTAGGAATCTAATCAAACAGCAGAGTTGTATCTTGGTAGATTAATTGTAAAATGGTTAAATGCAGCAAACATGAGAAAATAAATCAAATTCTCCCATCCAAAATTTTCCCACAGGACATGAAACAAAGAATAATGAAATACTTTGTTAGGCTTTGTAATTCATTTTAACAACACATTACTTAATACTACTCTTTGTAAATGTAACATTTCTACCTGGGTTTCTACTTAGTACTGTTGCTAGTAACTCAAGGACTACTGTAATTGAAAGATGAGAAATATTATTATCCATATTTTTCATCTTTAACAGTTTATTGTCTACTATATATTTGAGAGAGTCTGTATGTCTTTCTGTTCAAGAACTCCTCCTAAGCAGTAAAAGCTAGGGCCACTACATTTGGTATACAGCTTCCTCCTGTAACTTAAAGCAAGCTGTGAGTTTAGTTGTGCCAGGAAAATAGTCTGTGCTTGGAATGTGATTGCTTCTCATAAAACCAAACAGAAAAGAGAATCACCAGGCAGGTGAAAGGCCCTCCAGGATTACCCCAGCCCTGAGCCTCCTAACCCCAAGGTGCCCTTTAGGGAGAGTGGAAGGGGGCTGAAGCTCCCTCACCCCTCCAATTTGTAAGGGGATATTGCTGACTTTTCTTTGTCAGGGAGTGAGGGGAAAGGGCACAGTTTGCCTCATTCCTCTCACTGGCTGGGGAGTATAGGGGCAGATGAACCTGGACTTTCATGTGCTCCTCCCTGGCTGTGCCTGCTGGAGCCGCAGTAGCCATGGAGAGGCACTTCTCACCTGGCCCCAAGCTGCTGTGATGAGAGAGGGCTGGCGTAAGGATGTTACCCTAGTACAGGGGTTTCCAACCTGGGGTATGTGAACCCTCAGGGGGTACGAGAAGCTTGTCAAGGGGGCACGGGGAATATTTGGTAAATAACTAGATTATCCTAACTGAAATATTCCAAAAGTAGTAGTGTTAGTGAAAAAAGTTGTGGATTCTAGAGTCTAGAATTTATTTCCTTTCATATTGAATAGGGGAGGGGGTACAGGAAGGATTACTAAAAGCCACAGAGGTACGGGGACCGAAAAAGGTTGGGAGCCCCTGCCCTAGTACTTTCTATAATTAGAGCCCTGCAAATCTATGGCTATCTGGGGCTCATTTTTGGGGATGTGGATGTAGATATACAGTTTTTATGTCTAGAATCCTGCAGATTTGCAGATACATGCTTTATAGCCACAAGTATCTGCATCCACATTTGTGGATGTGGATATCTGTGAATGATTTTTGCAGGTGCAGATACCAATTTTGTATCCATGCGAGTGGCTTTATAATTTATAAATTGGATTTTTTTCCCCTGTACAGTCAGTTAAGTTGGTCACTTTCCCCCTGTGAATGTCTTTCACACAAGATGCAGAGAAGTATTTTGGAAGTAGAAAAAAAGAAAATAATTTATTTTTTAAAAAGACAAGAGGCCAGGGACAGATTTAATACCTGAACATTTTCTATATTTTTGTTTGGAAATTTACTAGATTTTAGTATGATTGTGCCCTTCTAAGCTTTGAAGAGAGTCTCCTATACTGGGGCAAACTTGAAAACAAAGATATTAAAACAACATGTTTTAGCAATAATCCTCTGTATTTCTCCTTACTATAATTAGTAACTATATTTGATTTTAGCTTCTTTTAAATAGAATTTAGTTTCTTGTTAGCTATTAAACCTACTGATTAAGAGACACAAGAAACAAGATAATTTAACAATTCTTCAAAGTATGTACTTAATGTGAATTGGTTATATGCAAATGCACTGAGTAAATAAAACTGATTACCATATTAACATACCAGTAAGCACATGTTTCAGAAGTTGTTTTCCATTTCAGTAAGGAGTATTAATTAAAATACTCTCTCTTCCATTATGATGGGAAAAATAAAAACATATGAGCGTCCAGGAATTTGACTCATTCAAGTATATGTGAGTTCTTTGAGTAATAGAAGTTCCTTTAGCATACTCAACTTAGACTTGATAGTGAGATTTTCCAGTAAACATACTTTATCAAGGGCATATTGGATATTCTCCTTCATAATGCCAGAATTACCTGCTGAAAGCTAGACTGAAGGAGAAGCTGATCATTATCATTGAGCCTTGAACATAAACAGAAGGGGAGAATTAGAAATGTTTTTGCTAGGAAATTCCTTTTTTATTAGATGGTGGGGGCCGTGGGTTTAGTTTCCATTTCTCTTTTAGTTTGTATTGCAGTGTTTTACAAAGTGATACGACAGCAATGTATGTTCGGAATTTGAACAAAGTGCTGCTTGTGAAATGTTGCTGCTTTCTCCCACTTAACACAAAACTTTTATCCAGGGTTGTTGCATCTCATGTGCAAAACTGGCATAAAGATTGATTAAGGTTAGGGAGCTGATTCTTTGGGATGTCACAAATTAACTTTTTACAGAAAGCATATGTGAGAGAGATGAGATCTTTAAACTTTCAACAGCTTTCTGACACACATGTGGAGCCCAGGTGCCATGTACCTTAAGATCTTATGGTCCCCCCCCCCCCCCAGCTGTCCTTGCAAGAAAAAGGCAAGAGAGATTTAAAAAATGAAAGCTGACATTCTGGCTATATTAGTGAGGGACTTCTGAGAGGGTCCTTCAGCTCATTAGTGGACCAGCAACCTGTGAATGTTGTTAAAATATGTATTAGAGGCCATATTTTTGACCTCATTAAGTCCCATTGTATTACTCTGGAAATACAAGAGGGACTTAAAACTTACTCAGATTGCCAGCTTGAGGATTCCCTTGTTAAGGATGAATTCTCATTCAGCATAGGCAACTCTGTGCTACCCCTCTCTTGCCTCCTGTAGCGTATTGGAATAGGAAGGGGCATGAAGTGTGGCAATCTGGTCACTGCGGATGGCTTAAAAGTCTGTAGAGGACTATGCAAACCCAGTAAATTAAAGCAGTCCTCAGATGTTATAACTTATGTCCAGGAGCTGAACTGGTCTTCAGCTGCTCTGATTTAAAACTCTCTCTTCTTTCCCCCTTCAGGTGCACTAAATTAGAGGGCTAGAACATTCTAAGCTCTGCACCTGCATCTCCAAGTTACATAGCAAAATTTGTGCTGATTTATTGAAATACCCACTGATGATTTTAACTGTGTTACATTTGTTTATATATAGCCTAATGCTGGTTGGGTCTTTAAAATGCTGTGGTAGTATGAGTGATCAATCATACAAAACATTTTGAAATATTTCTTCTACGTCTTTTAAAAGTTAATATCTTGTTTCTACTTTGCAATAAACTAATTTGAATTAATTACTTAAAATCACTGTACTTTTTATTTTTACTCTTCCAGTCAAAGAGCTATGGCCAGACACTGCTGACAGAGATTTATAAGCATTTGAATTTGGTTGAATCTGACTACTTTGGAATTGAGTTCCAGAACATCCAGTCATACTGGGTAAGTAATGGTTCCTGATCCATATATTATAAAAAGGCTTAGATGAATGCTGCCACTTGACTTTCAGAAGAAGTTTGGAATCCCATAGAAAAGTCTTCCAGTGAATGTGTGTGTACTTGTGACTATAAAGTTGGTTCAATCAATGAATTATGTCAATGTACTGCTTCACAAAATATATAACTTAAAATGATACATAGGAAAAGAATCTGATTAATTTTGCTCCTCCTCTACTCCAAAATAATGAATTATCCACTTATTGATGTTTCTACTATAAAGGTTTTTTATCGTATTATTTAAATCCTGTGGGTTATCATCCCAGATATTGCCAGTTCTTTTTTCTGTACTTCCTTATTCTGCTTGTGTTGTTTGAACTCAGTCCTTTCCTTTCCTAAAATTTACATCGGACAAATAGGAACTGTTTGAATGGCTTCTTTACCAACTTTGGGTTTTATGAAAAGGGAGTGTGACCATATACTGACTTTTTGTTCTCTTTACACAGTATTGTAGCTTCAGTGTATATATTCTCTGAATGTTGAAGGTTTTATATTTCGTGTATGCTGTCCCCATATATTTAGAATTATTTGTTTTTGTCTGAAAATTCATACATGTGATACCCTCCCTCTGTGAAAATTAAGTAGTGCAAAATGTAGAGTTCCCACACGTTACGTAGGTGTAATTTGGTCTGGTTTGATGTCTTTCATTGCTGCTGTTGATGGTTTTTTTCAATGTTTATAATGGTGGTAGTTCTTTGAAAAATAATTCCAAAAATGTTTACAAAAAAGCCCTGTATGGCATAGTCAGTAAAACTGCTGACAGTTGGGGATCATGCTTCCTTTCGCTATAAAAAAAGGAATAATTTAGTGGAAAACTCTGGAGTCACTCTCTTTAGTCAAGCTCTGCATCACCATAGTTAAGTGAGCCAGGTGTAATATAGAAGGGAAAGGAGAGGGCTGGCGCTTAGCCTTCATCATACATGGAAAGCTAAGAATCTGAATATATGATCTGTTCAAATTCCTCACACGTTCATGTTTGTGTGCAATTATGTGGTTTCATTATGGTTCTGTTTCCCATTCCTTTCAGCACTGGTAGCACAGTTTGCTCCTTTTCTGTTGTGATTCCTTCCATAGAGTGACAAAGGAAATGTATCACTATACTTATCACAACGTTTTTGTCAATATATCTTTGTTGTTTATATATACCTAGGGGGGGCTACTTTAAGTTTTGTGGCTAAGTATGTTCGTTTAACTGGTGATAGAAAAAGTTGTTCTGCTATTGCCATGAAATAGGGAGAAATAAATACATACTCATTTGGTAAGTTAAATTTGATTTTGGTGTTTTACAACATATATGCAGCATTTGAATATGGGTATTAATATATTTTCAACTTTTGTCTCACTTCCAGATTTGGCTTGAGCCTATGAAACCTATAATTAAACAAGTACGACGTAAGTACATATTTAATTTTTAAAGAGTTTTCCTTTAATTTTCATGAATTTAATGTGGTTTCTTTTCATAGATGTTACTTGATTTCTTAGTCAGGTTTGCTGGTTTTGTGCTTGCTATTGCCACGTATAGTTGGTTCAACATAGATCTACAAACTCAAACATTAAAGATGGTTTCAAGCCCTCTAATAGCATCAACATTTTCTAGAACACGTGTCATAACCCTCCCATGCTTTATGAAAATTGCTTATAAATATCAGTGTGCATAACTTGAAGATGCTTTATGTAAAACAGATCATGTCACCCATCATTCAAGAGCCAGTGATCTCCTGAAAGTGTGTCCTCTATATATGTGAATATATCTTTCTTATATGTGAAGTTAGAAATATTGAGAGAACTTGTTTTATTAGCCCAGGCATTCTAGTAAAAGCCATTACTAATACTTTAGGAACTTACTGGCTCAGTGGTCAAGTCAATGATCAGTGAATGGTTTTGTTTTTCCTGTAAGCCCAAACAGTGTGATGTGGGAATCAGACATGACCAGACTTTCAGACCAACAGCCTTCCAGGAATTAAAGAACAAGATCTTCTACCGTTAGAATAGACTGATTAAAATTAGGGATGTTAAAATGCATTTAAGTAAATGTATAACTGTTGAAAATTTCAGCGGTTACATGGTCCCATGTCAGGGGGGCGGGGCAGTCTATTCCCCTGCTCCCCATGCATACTGGGAGCCTGCATGTAACCATGAAGGTTAACTGATGAGCTTCAGCTCATCAGATAACTATGTACATGGTTACATTTTCACATCCCTAATTTGTAATGCCTCCTAGTATGATGTCATTGGCAGATTTTATAAGCACACTTTTCACTCCATTACCCAAATCATTAATAAAAAAGATATTTCACATCTACTGCTTCCTCCCTATCAATAAGCCAATAAACTCGTCAGCGAAGTAAATTAGGTTGGCATGATTTTGCTCTTGTCAGATCCATGCTGGCTATTCCTTATAATCCTATTATCCTCTTAGATGCTTACAGATTGATTGTTTAATATTTTGTTCCAGTATCTTTCCAGATACTATAGTTAGGCTGACAGGTTTTTAATTATGCAGATCCTTTTTTGCCCTTCTCTTTTTTGGGGGGGGGCCTCACCCATCGTCCCTGAGGTCTCAGCGATAATAGTTAATGGTTCTAAGTTTGCTTCAGTTATATCTGTGGTCAAAATTGTGGCTGCATGTGTATGTTCACAACATCCTCCACAGGCTGAACCATAGAGCTGGAAGAGACCTCAGGAGTCATCAAGTCCAGCCCCCTGCCCTAGGCAGGACCAGTCCCAACTAAATCAACCCAGCCAGGGCTTTGCCAAACCGAGACTTAAAAATCTCTAGGGATGGAGACTCCACTACTTCCCTAGGTAACCCATTCGAGTGCTTCACCACCCTCCTAGTGAAATAGTTTTTCCTAATATCCAACCTGGACCTGTCCCACTGCAACTTGCATGAGAAAAAAAGCCTTTCTTTTGTTTGTTTTAAACCTGCTGCCTATTCATTTAATTTGATAATGCCTTGCTTTTGTGTTTTCTGAGGAATAAATAGCATTCCTTATTTACTTTTCCATAACAGTCAAGATTTTTATAGACCTCAGTCCTATCTCTCTGTCTCTTTTCCAAGCTGAAAGGTCCTAGTCTTACAAATCTCTCCTCATATGGAAGCCTTTCCATGCCCCTAACAATTTTTATTTCTCTTTTCTGTACTTTTTCCTTTTTTTCAGATAGGGTGACCAGATCGGCACTCTGGATTCAAGTTGTGGGCCTACCAATGATTTATACAGAGGCAATATATTTTCTGTGTTACTATCTATCCCTTTATTAATAACTCCCATTATTCTGTTTGTTTTTTTGGCTTTTGCTGCACATTGAGTGGATGTTTTTAGATAATTATCTGCAACGACTCCAAGATCTTTGAGTAGTGCTAATTTAGACCCCATCATTTTATATGTCTAGTTGGGGTTATATTTTTCAACGTGTGTTACTTTGCATTTATTGGAAGTTATCTGCCATTTTATTGCCCTGTCACCCACTTTTGTGAGATCCCTTTATAGGTCTTCACAGTCTGCTTTGGACTTAGAAATTACTCATCAACTGCAAAATTTGCAGTTATCTACAAATTTTGCCATTACTGTTTTCCCCTTTTTCCAGATTTATGCATATGTTGAATAGTACTGGTCCAAGTACAGACCCTGGGGGAACACCAGTATTTTCCACTATCTAGTCTAAAACCTGGCCATTTATTAATTTAACCAGTTACCTATCCACGAGAGAACCTTCCCTCTAGGACAGCATACTTTGCTTAAGAGTCTTTGGTGAGGAACTTCGTCAAAAGCTTTCAGAAAATCCAAGTAAACTATATCTACTAGAACAGTGGTTCCCAACCTTTTTTATACTGCGGACTGGCAAACTTTTGGCAGACCGGCAACATTTTTTGCACATTTTCATAGTCAGTATGCAAATAACAAAAAATGCAAATAAAATGTTACTGGTCTGGCAAAAGCCCTGGTTCCCAGAGCTGTGGCGAACAGCCGGCTTCAGCTCCAGCAGTCAGCATGTGGCAGGCGGCTGAAGCAGGCTCTTGGCAGCTCTTGGGACCAGGGCTGTAGTACACTCTGGCTCTGTAAGCCCCCCCAGTGCCAGCCTTACCCCAGTATGCAAATAACAAAAAATGCAAATAAAATGTTACTGGTCTGGCAAAAGCCCTGGTTCCCAGAGCTGTGGCGAACAGCCGGCTTCAGCTCCAGCAGTCAGCATGTGGCAGGCGGCTGAAGCAGGCTCTTGGCAGCTCTTGGGACCAGGGCTGTAGTACACTCTGGCTCTGTAAGCCCCCCCAGTGCCAGCCTTACCCC